ACCGTCAAGGGAGTGAAGAAGCTTGATGAACGACAAACCGTGGTTTGCTACGTGTGCCACAAGGAAGGCCACAAGTCCTATGAGTGCAAGGTGAACAATGGGGGAGGAGCTAAGAAGAAAGAGAAAAACAAAAAGCAAACAAGCAAGCTCTCCAACACCTACACCAACAAGGTGGACAAGAAGGCCTCCACACCTTATCTCTTGAAGAAGAAGAAAAATGACAAGGCAGAGTCCGGTCAATACGAAACTTCTCCTTTTGACCCCTAACTTCACCACCCTTGATCAAATGTGCCAACCACCAAGTGTATCACCTTGTGCACATGTGTTAGCATATTTTCACAAGCATTTTCAAGGGTGTTAGCACTCCACTAGATCTAAATGCATATGCAATGAGTTAGAGCATCTAGTGGCACTTTGATAACCGATTTTCGATACGAGTTTCACCCCTCTTAATAGTACGGCTATCGATCCCAAATGTGATCACACTCGCTAAGTGTCTTGATCACTAAACCGAAAAGCTCCTATCAAGTTTTACCTTTGCCTTGAGCTTTTTCTCTTTCTCTTTCTTCTTTTCCAAGTCTAAGCATTTGATCATCACCATGGCATCACCATCATCATGATATTCACGTTGTTTCACCACTTGGAGTAGTGCTACCTATCTCATAATCACTTTGATAAACTACGTTAGCACTTAGGGTTTTATCAATTTACCAAAACCAAACTAGAGCTTTCAATGGGGCCACACCCGCGCCAAGGACGGTGTCGAGCCCACTGAAGATAGGGCCGCGCCCGCGTCGTGGAAGAGAAGAAGCTACCGGCCGCCGAGGCTGCGCCACCGAGGCTGCGCCTCCGGGGCCGCGCACCGAGGCCGAGCTCCTAGGGCTCCTGCGCACCTGGGCACGCCGGCCTGAGTCGCCTGCCAGGGCACGATAGCCTGGGCCTCACCATCCGAAGTGCGGCGGCCAAGCCTCGCCCGCCGGAGGGGAGCTCGCGCCCGCGGCCAGCCATGGAGGAGGGCGGACCGGCGAGATCTAGTGAAGCTAGAGAAGGGGCGCTCGTTGGAGGAGAGCTCGCGTCGCGTTTCCACCCGGTAGAGGAGCGTCGCGCCAGCGATGGAGCGCCACTGCGACAGCTAGAGTGGAGCGGCAGTTTGGAGATGCGCCGTTGTGCCCTTGCTTCCTTGTGACACGGACAGGAAAAGAAGCTTGCGATGCGGACGGGAAAAGAAGAAATAAAAACAAACCAGTACCCATCATAACCAGTGGCAGGTGGGTAAATATTTAGGCCAAAAGCAGGTCTAGTGGAAAAGCTGCTTTTTGGCAAAAGCAGTTGTGTCTTTTGAGCCCTTAGCTTGGCTTTTGGCTTTTGCAGAAGCAAAAACAGGTTCAAAAGCCCAACCAAACAAGGCCTTAACTTTAAAGGCCTACTTTGGAACTGAGGAAAAACAAAGGAAAAACACATGATTCAAATTCCTATCGAATGGATTCCTTTAGCAGCTTTTAGATTGTAGGAAATGCTCATATTCCTTTCCCTTCAATTCAAAAGGAATACCCGAGGAAAAAAATTCTACTTGGAGCCCATGGAAACAATTCTGCACAGAAGAAACGAGGCACATAATGGACTAATGGGAACTGGTAGCGCCTAATCAAGGGAGTAGAATGGAATAAGTGGTTGATTAAAGAAAGCAATATATTTTTCTCCTAAAATTCCTTTTAACATTCCTGTGTTTTTCCTTTGCCCATACAAACGCCTAGACATGCAAAATTCCTATGTTTTTTATTTCTTTGTTTTGCACTTATATTCCTATCCTATTCCTATGTTTTTCCTATTCACGTGCTCCTTCGTTCCTCCGTTCCACATGAGGCCTAAGGCTCTCTAGGATGATTTTCAAAGCACAGTCAAACAATTTATTTTGTGGACTGATTGATCTTATTATAGATAGAGGTGTTGTTGTATTATTGCAATATGCTGATGATACTATTATATGTCTGAAACATAGTATTGAGGGTGCTAGGAATTTGAAACTTCTACTGTGTATGAATGAATTGATGGCAGGGCTTAAGATAATTTTTTTAAAAAAGTGAAATTATGACTATCAATGATGATGGCAAGTGGGCTGCCATTTATGCTGGAATCTTTAATTGGCAAGTTGGATCTTTCCCCTATTAAGTATCTAGGTGTTCCTGTCAGTCCAAGTAGACTACATATTTCACATTGGCTTCCCATAATTGAGAAAAGCAATAAAAGATTGGATGTTTGGAAAGGAGGGACCATGTCCATAGCTGGGAGAAAAACTCTTATTGATTCTAGTCTTACTAATGCCCCGATATATCAAATGTCCATTTACTTGTTACCCAAAACTGTAGTGAATAGATTGGATAAGATAAGAAGAACCTTGTTTCGGCACGGGGTGGAACAAAAAAGAAATATCACTTGATTCGGTGGACAAAAATATGTAAAAGTAAGAAAAAAGGTGGCTTAGGTATTAAGGACATAAGTAAGATGAACCTCAGCTTATTATGCAAGTTGTTTTGGAAAATTGATAATGAAACTGGGCTATGGCAAGAAATCATTAAGTTTAAATACTTGAAGAATGATTCCATCTGCACTGTGAAGCACAGGCAGACAGATTCCCCTATCTGGATGATCTTATGAAAATTAGAGATATTTACTTGCAAGGCAAGAAATTCATAATTGGGGATGGTAAGAAAATCTTGTTCTGGAAAGATAGGTGGTTATATGATCAACCCCTTGCTCAGCTCTTTCCTGATCTCTTCAAAATGTCTCAACAGCAGGATATTACTTTGGCTGATGTGAAATAGAACCCTCAATCTCTTACCTTTTCTAGGTGGCTAGTTGATGGGTGGAAATTACAATGGGATGACATTATGTTTGACACTGCTAATACCCCTTTAAAATCTGTTGCTGATGTGGTGATTTGGAAATTTGGTGGTAAAGGTCATTTTACAGTTAAATCTGTCTATAATGCTCTTACCTCTAATGATAATGGTCTCTATGAAAAGAAAATTTGGAAAGGAAAGATTCCAGCTAAGATTAAAATCTTCCTTTGAATGGTTCTGAACAATGCAATTCTTACTAATGATAATATGTTAAAAAGGAATTGGTCTAGAGACCCAGCTTGCTACTTCTGTTCCATAGATGAAACTGCTACTCATCTTTTCTTTCAATGTAGTGTGACTAGAGCAGTGTGGGCGACTATTGCTACCTGCATTGGTGCTAATAACATAACCCAGTCTCTAAATCAGAGCTGGGCATGGTGTGAGTCATGGCTTCCTGGTGAGAAAAAATTTCACACTCTTGGAATTGCGGCCATCTGTTGGGCCATCTAGAAAACCAGGAACAAGATATGTTTTGAAGGCAAACTTATCCAAAATCCTATATAATTGTATGTTATGCTTGCACGCTTATGAGCTATTGGGCAGACTGTACATGGCGGAAGACAAGGAAATATTGCTGGCTGGCGTCAATACAATGATGTAGATTGCGAGGAAGTTTCTCAACAAGAAATCGAAGCAAGGCTTGGTGCAGCTACTAGAGGAGGGCAGTGATGATCGTCAGGAGGACTAAAGCGGGCTCATGTGACGATGTCATATTGATGGCTGACTTCTTTTGCGATGGTTGTCTGATGTCTTTTTTTGTCTCTGCTGTGATGATACTTCTGTAGTAATCCCTCCAGCCGTGTTACTTAGACAGTGTTGGTTTTTTAGCCTGATTAGGGCATTCTGGTTGATAAACGGGCATTGGTATGCTGCGAGTAGAGCTGGGTAATCCTCGTAGACAGCTTCTTAGATTTCAGCTTGCTTCTCCTAACACTTCATCTAGGATTGCATATGCATTTCTGTATTATTCCTATATTTTTTTCTATTCAAGTGATTTCTCATTCCTGCATTCCAAAGGGGCCCTAAACATGCCATAGGACGTGCAATAGAATTTGTGTAAAGATATAAGACCAAAAACATGTATATGCATTGCGGCGATACATAATTTGTTGCTTGTGCTCATGCTAATGATAATAAGCTAGCTAGCTGTTTTTATTGGATTTAATTGACCTTGTCTCAAGGGCTTGTTTGGGTACACTTGTATTCAGCTCAATCCATACGTGTTGTGATGGATTAGGGTGTAAGTTTGTTTAATTTTCACCCTAATTTAACCCAACATATGTTGATTAAGTTGAATACGAGTGTAGCTAAACAAGTCCTGAGTAAAATAAATTCCAAACCTCATAATAAATGTTTGTGCAATAAATGATTAATTATATATGGAAATTTCACAGTAGATTGATGGGTAGTTATGAGTTATTATGTTCACATGTTATGAGATTGAAAGGTGACAGGGGAGCCATATGCACAGGTGTGAATGAGGACTGGCTATTATAAATGTTAGTATTTTGTATATAAATTTAGTTAAATTTTAATTGTTTGACTTCTCGAAAATCGAGAATTGTATTTTTCTTTATAGACGGAGGGAGTATAGATTGGTGGATAAATTTGAAATCTCCGTCATATTAGTTATAGATTCGTGGATAAATTTTAAACGTCACGGCGTACACTTATGGCTCCTTTCGAAAATGCTTTGGCAGCAGAGCCGGAGTACTCTACTTTTGTTGCTTTGGGGGAGCCATGTGCGACGCACTCTACTTTTGACGTTGGTTCTTCTTCTTTTTTTTTAAAGAAAACTTTTGACGTTGGATTTCCCCACTCCCGCTGCTTTCCCCCCATTGACGAGTTGACGACAACGCCCAGATCGATTCCTCGTCACTTGCCGGTCAACACTGACCTGCGCCGCACACCGACGGTCCGGCGGCCGTCGATCTCACGTTCTCACCGCACACCGACGGTCCAGTCCTCGCCGGGACGCCGGCGCCGGACGGGGTGAAGGTAACCCCGCGTCCCCCAGATTTTCATTCAACTTCAATTATCTGTTTGGTTTTTTCGATGAACTCGAAACATTTTCCGATGAGCCTCCTTCAGGCCTCCGCCATGGAACATGGCCGCACTGTCCTCACAGAGGCCGTACGCAAGGTGCAGCTGCTGAAGATCGACGGCTATTGCGCCACCGCAGCCATGGAGTCCTCTGAGTACATCAAATTCAAATGGATCGTCGATGGCCACGAGTGGGAGGTCCGTTTCTATCCCAACTACGATAGCAACTACGGCAGTTTGGTATTTGTACAGCTCATTCTTCTTGGTGAACCCCAGAGGAACAAGTTGAAAGTGAATCTAAGCTGCCGGCTTGTAGATATGAGCCATCGTCTTGATCCTTGTGCTGAGAAGAGTTTGTCCCATGTATTTCCTAGTCGCGACGGATGTACAGTTACCTTGACGACAAGATATGATATACCATCAGGTTATCTTGTGAATGATTCATTGACCGTGCAGTGCACCATCACTGTGCTCAAAGAACTGCCTGATATAGTCGTCCCAGCTAATACAGAGGCGCCGCCGCCACTGCCACCCTCTGATCTGGAGCGGCACTTCGGTGAGCTCTGGCAGGGCCAGAGGGGAGCAGACGTCACATTTGAGCTGGAGTCTGGCGAGTGTTTTCTTGCGCACAAAATCATTCTTGCTGCAAGGTCTCCTGTCTTCATGGCCGAGTTCTTTGGTGGCATGAATGAGAGGAGCTCCCAGAGTGTCAGGATTGAGGGCATGGACGCTGATGTCTTCAAGGTCATGCTTCACTTCATCTACACCGACTGGGCTCCGGAGCTTGATGAGGAGCCTGAAATGGCGATGGCTATGGCTCAGCACTTACTCGAGCTGCTGACAGGTATGTCTATTTTTGCTGAACGAATCAATCCAAATTTCATTATGATGGATGCAACTAATCAGTATTTTCGTAGGTACGGGCTTGACAGGCTTAAGCTGATCTGTGAAGGCAAGCTCGCTGGTGGCATCAGCATTGACACGGTCGCGACGACGTTGGCTCTAGCTGAGCGGCACAAGTGCTCGCTGCTTAAGGCCAAGTGTGTTGATTTCATTGCCAGGTCGCCTGAAACTCTTGATGCGGTCCTGGCGACCGAGGGCTACAATCATCTGGTGGCGAGCTGCCCCTTGGTATTGACTGAACTTCTGAGGGCTGCGCATGGAAGAAGGAACTGAGGATTGACGATTCTAGCTTTGGCATATGCAGTCATATCTTTATCTTAGTAGTGTTAATTTGGCATGCAGTCCTAGCTAGCGTCCTATCTCTATCTTAGTGTTAATTTGGCTTGCACTCCCAGCGTCATATCTCTATCTTAGAAGTGTTATTTTGGCATGCAGTCCTAGCGTCCTATCCTCAGTAGTGTTAATTAGTTGCTTTATGTTATGATGTTCCTAAGATGTATGCCCGACAATATTATGATAAACTAGTGCTTGCATTTGATTTCCCCCCTTCAGTTTCAGTTGCTTTATGCTATAATGATTTTCCTAAGAGTTGGATGCCCTTCTTTTGTACTCCCTTTGTTGGGAAATAGGGATCCCGACAAAGAATAAGAATGAGAGGTGAGCTGGTTGCAGCACGACACCTGGAGGTCGAAGGCTCCGCTCTGGGGCAGAGGCGTTCGACAAGCTGAGGCACGAATATAGAGACGAAGTTCACACAATTGCCAAGGCAACAATTAGGGTTTCGAATTACATGCCATCCTTTCCCCCATATGACTGACTTCCCCCTTTTATAGGGTACGACTACATCATTTGTCGTGTACAGAAATGCCACTACGGTAACTAAGGTATATGTTGGTATATTCCTGTACACTGTGCTCTCATGCCTCCGGGGCATCAGAGTCTTTTTCTTTTGCTACTGCCTTTGTTGATGGGCCGTTGTCGAGCATGGGCCTTCAGCCCATCACTCGTCACGCCACGGCCTCTGACTGATCTTCACAATGCAACCTCTGACTTTTCATCACGATCGCTGACTTCCTCTTCGCAGCGCTCTGGCCTTTGACTTTTCGTCGCGGCCTCTGACTGATCTTCATAACGCCTCGACCTCTGACTCTCCATCATGGCCTTCTGACTTCATAGCTCCTCAGCCTTTGACTTTTCATCATGGCCTCTAACTTATCTTCGTAGCGCTCTGGCCTCCAACTTTTCTTCAAAGCGCTCTGGCCTCTCACTTTTTCATTGCGGCCTCTGACTTTTCAGTGCTTCAGCCTTTGACTTTTCATCGTGGTCTCTGACTTCGTCTTCAAAGCACTCCGGCCTTCAACTTTTCTTCAAAGCGCTCTGGCATCTGACTTTTTCACCGTGGCCTCTGACTTTTCAGTGCTTTGGCCTTCGACTTTTCATCGTGGTCTGTGACTTCGTCTTCAAAGCACTCCAGCCTTCGACTTTTCTTCAAAGCGCTCTGGCCTCCGACTTTTTCACCGCGGCCTCTGGCTTTTCAGTGCCTCGGCCTTCGACTTTTTCACCGTGGCATCTAACTTTTCAGCGCCTCGGCCATCGACTTTTCATCCGGCCTGTGCATACCATGAGATAGGCTTTTGCAAAAGTTAGTTTCGTCGGCGAGTCCTCCAATCGCAAGGCAACTCCCCCGACACCCTCCATCATAAATTATAAGTCATTCCAAGAATCTTGGAGAGTCAAAGCATTTTAAGTTTGACCAAACTTATATAATAAAATAATAACATTCATGATACCAACTAAGTATCATTAGGTTCTTCATTAATTATATTTTCATAGTATATCTATTTGATGTCATAAATCTCTATAACTTTTTCTATAATTTTGATAAAACTTGAGATGCTTTGACTTTCCAAGATTTTTGAAATAACTTATAATTTGGGATTGAGGGAGCATTTGTCACGACACGAGCAGCCTACTGCTTCAATTGCCGTTTTGGTTGGTTGTGTGTTGTGGGATTCCGTTTTTTGCTTCTCAATTTCTCCGATAATTGCAATGTCTTTGTCATATATATGTATACTGACGCAGACATATGGCATGAGCAGCTTGCTGCTTCAATTGCGATTGGCAAAGAGCTCGAAAACCCTTTTCTTTAACAATTATTTTTTAGAAATAAGAGCTCTATTAGAAACTTTTTTTTCTAGAATTAGTTTCTTCTTCACAATAAAATCCCAAAAACTTGTTCACATAATTTATCACAGTGCTATTTTTTTATCCGGCAATAAAATATTTCGGTAGCTGCGATCCCAATTAGATAATCACGGTATCCTATCTATTGCTGTCAGACGTTGAATGCTTAGAGCTAAACACCTATACCATACTTAAAATTTTCATTTCTGTAACAGACTTTAAAAAACATACATGTGTGATGCTTGCTATCTGTCACGACCTGGCCTTGCACTTGGGCTTAGTATATGCCCATCATGTGCATTTCCTGCATCAAAGTTTCAAGTTTCAGATAACTTGCATAGGAAAAACTGTATTTGCTCGGCTTGACGCACAGTCCGTCAAGCCGGTCGCCGCAGCAATCGCACCCCACAGGTCACAGTCTTGCTCGCCAGTTCCGGTGCCATGCATGCCGACCCCAAGAGTCACCGGAACGAGGAGCAGCACAGCGAGCCACGTACAGCGCTATCAGAGTATCAGTGAACGAAACCGCCACTAGGAGGGCTGCTGCTAGCAGCAGAGCAGCAGGAAAATAAACGATGATTATGTTTTGGATAAGTCATTGGTTTTGGTAATAATTTGACTATTTGAGCCTTTTCTTTTGGGTTAACCCACTAATTATATAATTCGTCTTGGTGGCAGTAGCCAAGTTGTCAAATTAGCCTACAGAAGGAGGATGATCTGGTTGGCTAAAAGACTACGAGCCAATGATTGTTTGATGGTCAAAATATAGTTGCTAAAACTTGGGTAAGCCAAGATTTTGGTAGTCATTTGGTTTGGTATCAGGATTTACTAATATATCACAACTGGGTAGACCCAGTGCCGGAGGCTCCCACATGAGTGGGGTCTGGGGAAGGGAAAAATCGAGGCAAGCCTTCCCCCGCAAAATCTACGGAGAGACTACTTCGAACCCATGACCTGGTGACTCAGTGAGACAGCTCTCACCACTGCACCAGGCATGCCTTTCCCACAACTGGTACAAATAAATTTATGACAAATATTTTTTGTCCAAGTTCTATTAACTTTTTTTTGTCAAATCTTTGGCATAATAAATTTTGGTAGCCAACCAAACAGACTCTACAACACGCATCCTATATCATCGCCTACTTTATGAGACCTAAATAAAAGGGTGTGATATATGTGATCCATGGTGGAGAATACTAAAATGTCTATTACCAAACTAAGGCTACAAGTTATACATAGACTATTATAAGGTTATGTAACCACTTATCGAGTTAAATGTGGTTGCACAATCAACATAAATTATTATATATATTTGATAAATAACTAGTTACTATACATAAAACATAAATTGCCACTATAAAAATTTATTTTTAAATATATGTACCATATATGGATATAGTTTTATAAATCTCAACACACTAGTACAAATAAAATAAAAAACAGACTACATATTAGAAAGATATCACATTTTAAAGGAAAGAAGCAAAATAAATATATGGCCCAGCCCACCTCTCCCACCCACGGGTTGCCACCAGGCTGCTGGCTAGGCCATGTCCAAGTGGGGTCACACTGTAGGTTTAGACCCTGTTTGGTTGAGCTGTGGTTTTTGGAAAAGCTGTTGTATACTGTGACTGTCGGATACCATAAAAAGGGTACCCTAAGCAAAGACCGAAAAAATTGCTTAGACCTTGTAAATAACGAAACAAAAATACAACCGCATGCAAACCCGCCACATCCAAGGTCCGGCCCACCTCGAACAACATCCAGGCGCAACCGAAGCAGGCTCGGCCCAGAACCATACCGCGAGGCCTCGGACGAGCCACCGATTCTCCGACTCGCCCGAGGCCCTGCACCACGAGGCTTTGGACGAGCACCCAATTACCGACTCGCTCGAGGCCGGCTCGGCATCAACCCCGTCGCCGCTTTGACCAACTTCTCTGACGGGACGTCACATCCAACTGAAGCGTTCAACCACTCCCACAACGTCAGCCGCACGACGGCACAGTGCAGCGGAGTGACCGACGAGATGGAAGTCACATCAACGCCGTGCCATCCGGGACAGGACGGGGCGGGGGTTACCGGCCGCTGTGCTCGGCACTGTGCCCACGACTGACGCCCGTACTGCACTGTGCTGTCTAACCCCTGCTCCAAGGACAGCGCGGCGTGGAGAGTCAAGTCCAGGTCCGTGTAGCCTCGGAATCGACGAACAAGACCAACTGCTCCCTCCGAGCCTCGGCTATCCGCTTCCGGGCTCCTGTAGCCTCGGGGCTTGCACCCGTCGAGCCCCCCCCCCCATGATGGCTCAGCATCTGCACCGACTGAGGCCTCGGCTCTCTACGTCAACGACGCGCTGGGACCGGCACGTCACCCGCAGTGCGCGCCACGCCCTGCGTCAGGCTACAGGAGCTCCCACGTCGCATACAGGGCCTAGCTCCTGTAGCCTCGGAATCAGCGTACCCGCACCATCGCATCAACCCGGCCTCGGCACTCCGTGCCGGTCAAACATACAGTAACCAGCTCGCCTCCAACAAGAAGAAGGCGCGCCTGCCACCACGGGATCAAGCGTGACCGGCGCGTCGCTCCAGTGCACCAAAGACAAGACCGCTCCACCGACCATACCGCCACAGTGACAAGCTGCAGGGCTCGGACATGACGCCTCTGCCAAACAGAAACACCACGTAGCAAATACATGTACCGCCCCCGTGCCTCCCTTCGGCTATAAAAGGGAGTGACCGGGGCCGCTCCTAGGCATGGGAGATAAAAGGGAGATCGGATCAGATCACACACACATACCTGTGCAAGCCACGCACAACACTCTATAACACACACGCTCCTTCACTGTGAGAGATCAACATCTCAAGCAACCCACGCCACTCCACGCAGAGACCTGGGACTAGCACCCTCTCTTGCTCAGCTTGTAAGACCCTACTACAAGCACCTCGGTGCAAGGAATACAAGATCACTCTCTCAGACTGGACGTAGGGCACCTATTGCCTGAACCAGTATAAACCTTGTGTCTCTTTGCATCACCATCCAGGATTAGGAACACGCAGTACACTTTCACTAGTTGGTTGAGGACCCCTCGGTCC